TCATTAAAACGTTTAACATTCAAATTTGAATCCAGGTGAACCAATTTTATGTAAAATAAAAAAAGTATAATAAAAGTGAAATATTAACAGAAATATACACAATGTATATAGTAATGAGAATGAGGCAGTATTCTTACATGAAAAATATTGAATCTAAGCAAATAAATAAAGCAAAAAAAAAGTTATCTAAATTAGTACCCACATCGTTGTTTTATATTTTAAATTACTTAATAAAGAGTTTCTTTCAAGAACATTTTGTTTTTTGTATAATTAATATTGAAATTTATTAGTGAATAAAAAAAAATGAGTAATAATTAATAATTATTAACTAATAACACAGTTATAACCATGGCTTTAGAGTTTAGATTATCTTAGGTAATATCATAGAACAATAGTATATAGATCCGCTGGGAGCGCTCTTTGATCTTAGGTATTTGGTAAGAACATTCACAACACACTTTTTCTCGTTTCGTTACGCAACCATACTATCTTAAATCGTGCTTAAAAGTGACACGGTACGCAGCGTTCTTTTTTTAACTTCAGGTGTGAATTTAAAAACAAGTTCATATCAATATTGTATTATCATTTATAACCAGCTGAAATTATGAACTGAGACTTGGTTCATGTCCCCCCAAAATAACTGCAGGGTATGCAAGCGCATACCTTGTGCGCACGCCTATGAATTGTCATACATTGGCATTTTATTACATTTAACTATTATGACTCTTGAAATTTGCATCAGTCTACAGTCATTCTATCTCAGCCAGAATTATAATCTTATACACAAATAAATTTTTTTCCCAAATAAGTATTGAAATATAAAATAAAATATATTTAGAATACGTATTTAAATAAATTTTTTTTAAAGTATTTAGAATAATATTCAAATATTTTACAAGACTGTAGATATCCATACAAAAGTACACGTGGGGGGACTTTACCAAATCTTCTTTTATAGGTACCTACACTATAACTTGACTTAAATATTCATAAAAAATATAAACTTAACATTAAATAAATGAACAAAAATTTAAAATAGAATAAAATAAAGTTGAAATAAATAATAAAAATAATAAAATAAGTAAAAGTTCAAAACATTTATTTTAACCGGTATTTATTTATTTAATTAACCGGTACCCATTTGGGTAGTATCTGTCTCTTAAAAACAATATACAACATACAACATTTGGACTAAGCCGAACCAATTTTGTATTGTAAGCTTTATTATTAAAATAAATTAACTTTCTAACCTCATTTAAAGGTAAGAACATTATCTAGTAGACAGTAGTCCACCTTGTTTATTATAAGTGAAATTTTAATTTTCAATCAAGTTATAATCATTTTTAAGTTGTAATATTTTATATTTTTATAACCAGCTTTAAAATTAATATATCAATAAAAACCTATGGTTTCAATCATTTGATAACCTATGAGAAAATTTTCTTACATTTAAATCTGATAATAGATCAATTCATGCTAATATTAATACTAACATAAAATTGGTTCACCTGGATTCAAATTTGAATGTTAAACGTTTTAGGGCCGGTTCTACCATCTAAAGATAAAGTATCAGTTAACTATCTATTAGATAACGTTATCCAAGACATTTATCTTATTGATAATTAATGTGTGTTCTACAAATAATATTTGTGTTATGAATTACTATCTATTGGATAGTAATCCTGTAGTTAAATTAATTTTTAATTTGTTATTCTTTCCATGATATTGTTGTATTATCTATAATAAATATAGTAGATTATTGATAATAATTGAAAGGTACCGTACTAAACTGCAATTAACTTCTATAAGTATTGAGTTCTTTTATAGTTCTAATAATTCGTATTCGTAATCGCACTAACGTCGTACCATCGTAAGAAGTACCTAATTAATTAAGATTTTTACATTTTTATAAATTGTATATTTTTAAAATGTCGGACATAAAAAATAAAGAGAAAAGTCGTTCAAAAAATTTTGCTAGTGATGAAGTTAACCGGTTCATAAGTGCATATGGTTGCTAATGCATAAAACCTAAGTGTCAATAACAATTTTGTTGTAGGCAATATGGCACGGTTTCTGAAAAGTAAATTAAAATAAAATGTTTAGGTATTTTTTTTTATTGGAAACATAGAATAGGTACCTACAACCTACATATTATTATTATTTTTTTTTTTTTATCAAATGACCCGCGGCAATGTTAGAAATAGATACCTAGGTATAAACTATAAAAGTATAGTTTCATATAAAATATATTATATACAATAAATTACTTAGGTACCTGTTCGTTTTTGACTTTAAATGAAATTCAATTTTAAATAAAAGTTCTTTAACTGTTGTTTTTTTAGACTAAATCTCATAAAAAATTCATCATCATCCCACATTTCTAAATCTTCCATTCGATTTCGAAATACTTTTTTTTTTCGTGGTTTCGGAAAGTCTTCAATATTATATTCATCTTCATCAGATATAATATCAAAATTACAAAACATTTTTTAGTTAAAAATTATTATAAGCTTATACACTGAAATTTAAACTAAATATATTTTATATTAAAACACTATATAGTTTGCATAACATCAGTTCATAATATGATAATATTAATCTGACATAGAGATTGATTATCCTCTAGATAAATTACTTATTCAGTAGTAAAACTGTTTGACAAGTTACCAATGACTTTACCAACAGGTTCAGGGATATCTAGACATTGTAGAACGGTATGAGTCAACTTATCCTATGGATAAATTTAACTAAGAGTTATCTATAGGTGGTAGAACCGGCCCTTAATGACTGAGGTCGCACATGGTTAAGATCATTTTATATTTTGATTACATAAATAATTTATACTTATATTGTGTGGTTAACGCTTTTGATATTTTAACAAACTATAATTTAAATTGAGACTGAAACAAATGATAATACAATTGTATTGACTATTGATATTTGAAATTATTGTTATTTATAAAATTCAAATTCAAATACAATTGTACAAGCATATGTAATTCCGACTGCACACTTGGTTTTTTTAGGGACTTAGGGTGTACATTGTGTCACCGTGTCAAGTACCTAATAGTGTAGTACACTAAAAAATATTATCTTAGGTCCTGTATTAAAATGTAGGTTAAAATATTTCTGTTAACGAATAATTCACTATACCAAGTATGCAACTACCTAACAATTACTTACATTTTTTAATACATAAAATAGTATAATATCATAACAATTTTATTAATAACATCATTCTCAATATTGTTAAGTTACATTTTTTTTTTACCTTTATTACCTCCCGTAATGTTTTTAAGAATTGAGTACCTACCTATGCTTAACATAATATAAATTCGTCTAAAAGTGTTTATATTATATTAATTGTACTTTGTAATTGTTAACCATTTTAAAACTAGTATTATTTGTTCTCATAAGAAAAAATAGATTTTTTGGTAGCTACAATAAACATATTATTATACTGCCTTAAACATTATTAAGTAAAAATGTTTTACTACCTATTTTCTTATTAAACATGCATGGATTATTAATTTTTTTCATTCAAGTTTCATTTTAGTTCTATGTAAATCAAAGAAACTAGAGCATTGTGTCTATAATTCTAATACATGACAATTTAATATATTAGTACATTACTACTGATTTAACTTTATATTTGTTGTGGTTTAAATTATGCAATGTGTCAATCTTATAAATTAGGTATAATTTTATGTTGTGTTTTTTTAAAGTACATCTATAACATTAGAAAAATAATTATTATTTTAACATTGTATACAAAGTCAGTCTATTAACTAATACCATTTTTTTAGATCATGAATAATTCTCAATTCATCAGAAATATGTTGGATTCAAGCAGTAGATCAGTTTCACCAATATCACATTCTGAACACTCATTGGACTTTGCACAGTTGGCTGTGCAAGTACAAGTACACAAATATTAGACGAAACCATGGTTGACAATTCATCTGAAAATATTTCATTTGTATCTACTACTGTATCGTCTATTGGTTCACCTTCAATCGAAGATCAGTCTTCTGGATTGAATTATTCGAAAAGTTCTATAAAACGTAAGTTGTTGAGTGGCAGTGATGCATTTATTCTTGTTCCACATAGTGGCAAAAGTGCAGTTTGGAAAAAATTTAAAATGGTTATGCATAATAGTTCTTATTCTGAAGATCCAGATTCTCCTGATCGTAATAACACTGATTTTGTTGCTTGCTCTTTGTGTAAGGAGCTTTATGCTAAAAAATCTAGTACAGCTACTCTCCGACGACATAAATGTACGAAAAATACATTTCAGAATCCCATTGAAATGTATGGAAAATTGATGAACAACAAATGCAAAATTCTGCCAGCACGAGTAAAAGATGAAGCAATCCAGAAATGTGTCAAGTATTGTAGTTTAGATTTACGACCTATGTTGGCAATCAAAGGTAAAGGTTTTCTTGAAATCGCCCAATTTTTTTTGGACGTTGGTGCTAAATATGGCGTTTCAAATATAAATGATATTATACCACATCCGACTACTGTTTCAAGGCATATTATAAAAACAACAACTGATGTAAGAAAACAGTTATTTTCTGAAATGTACAGTCTGATAAAAAATAATTATTGTAGTTCAACTTGCGACATGTGGACAGACAATTACAAAAAGAATAATTATATGTCTATAACACTACATTATATAGATCAAAATTGGGTTTTAAATAATCGTCTTCTGTAAACAAGATTCCAAAACTGGCGAAAATATAAAAAAAATTATGAGTAATTTTTTTACCCAGTTATCAGAAGATGCTGACGAAAATGATGGTTCGGATTTAATGCAGTACATAACTTTTGTCACTAATCAGGGATCGAATATGATCAGTGCTCTTAGAAATTATAATCGTTTAAATTGTTGTGCACACTTGATAAATACAGTTTTAAGAAATGTTTTTGATTTGAAGTTTTTGTAACAAGAAAATAACTATGGATCAAAGCCCTTGGAGCCAATAACAAACTTAATGACTGAGTGCAAAACTCTTGTTAAATTCATGAAAAGTTCAGGAAAGAACAGTGAATTATCCATGGTTTTGGTTCAAGAGGTTGAAACAAAATGGAATACACGTTTACTTATGTTACAGTCCGTCTATAAATCTTTACCTGAAATAATACAAATTCATGGTGAATATTTTGGTCGTATTCAAAATATAAATACCGAACTTCTAAAAAGTCTCATTGAATTTTTGAAGTTATTTAAAAATGCTTCTGATGAACTCGAAGGGGACAAAAATCCAACTATACAGAAAGTGGTGTTATATAAATGTCTAATTGAAAATCATTTATTAAAATATACCAACATTGAAAATAATCTTTCAATGATGATGTTGAAGTAAATATTGATTATATAATGCATAAATTAGGAGAAAAGGCATTGGAGATTTTAAACTCAAAATTCAAACTGAGCGAGGAACATGAAATCGCTGTATTTCTTTGGCCCAAGTTCAAAATGCTGAAAATGTTTTTCCAAGACTCTGGTGACCGTTCTCGGATAATAAATAATATTGAAAAAAAGCTTTTAGAGATGGAAACTAGAGACCAAGAATTAAATATCAATACCATTATACCAAGTAACTTTGATGACTCAAACAGACCATCATCATCATCATCCATGTTTTCCGAATGGGAAGACAGTCTAAGAGATCATGATCTTCCACAGTACAAGTTTAAAAAAGAGTTGGAAGATTATAGAGAAGAAATTTTTGATGTTGGTGATGATCACATTTTAGATTTCTGGTCAAAAAAAATGTCAAGATATCCATATTTATCAAAACTGGCAAGACAGATACTAGCTACACCAGCTTCTAGTGCAAGTAGTGAAAGATCTTTCAGTATAGCTGGTAGAGTGATCGAAGAGCGTAGTAGTTGTCTGGACGGATCAACAGTTGATGCCATATTGTTTTTGAACAGTTTTCACTCTCAAAAGTAATCTTTTTGGCCACTAACACTATAAGGAAACAAATAAAAGTGTTAATTGTTCCCTTCATTAAGATTGTATAAAATTATGTATTTTTAATTTTGGTACAAATAAATAACTTGGTACATGTTTGTTATTGCCCTGCCATTCGGGTTTATTAAAAATATATTATATATTTAATTGTTTTAAATGCATTGTTAGTTTTATGGCAGAATTTGGCTTTTATCTTAATTTTAATTTTGTTTTCCTATTGATGATTATTATTATTTATTATACACTTATTATGTATTATACTTTTTGAAATATTATTATATATAAACGTTTTGAAATATATTATTATTTATTAATTATTATATAAGGATTATTTTTGTAGGTGTATAATATAAAAATGAGTGATTATCTTTTATTCAATATTATTTGGTATCACTACAGAAGATAAACTACCTAACTACTCATACAAGTACTTTAATTTTGAATATATTTTGTAATTTTTTGTTTCATTATTAATATTATTTATTATTTACTGAATAAATTTTTAAGTCTTATCAGTATTTATAGTGGTTTTATAAATAAATCTCTTAATTTAAAGTAACTATTGTTGTTCTTAATAGTTAATATCTATATAAGTATATCTATACAACTAATACAACTATGATACTATCACGTGAGACATGAGTACATAATACATCATTTATTATTTTTTTTTTTTTTAAATAGTTTACATTCATATGCACCTTAAAAATTGAATTTCTAAATAGCAATTATTTGTATTGTCGAGTCTACAGTGAGTAAGGTAACTTGTTTGTTTATTTGGTTTATAGTACTTCTATAATAGGTAAAATTATATTTATTTAAACCAGGGGCGTACCCAAGGGGGGGGGGGGGGGGGGGGGGTCCGGACCCCCCCCCAATTGAGATATCTACATTTACACAATTGTTTAATAGTAAATCGTATAATAAGAGTATTACAGTGTATTTTAATATTTCCCATTATCTTCAGTATACAAAGGCTATAGATTATAATATATTATAATGTATAAACCGTGTTTAATTTATACCAACGACTAGGTACGACTGATTGTCTTATTGTGTGCTGATACCACGAACTGATTAGATTAATAACACAGATTTCTATATATTACTAGATAGCGAACTCCAGCCATGAATTGAAGCTTCAAGGTCGGTTGGCAATTGTATGGTATTTCATATGACAAATAAGATGATATTATGATTTACTAGATTCTGGCGTTTGTCATCCCGCCTACGGCGGAAAGACTGTGTGGGCGGTGATACATCTTTGTCGTTTCGCCTCGGGCTGGGTTTTTTGATCCGGCCTGATCCCCGGACCCCCCAGTGTTACTTGTAATTGAGTACCTTATTTTGGAGACATAGTCGAATTATAATGAAGGTGATAGGTTGGTAGTCGAAGGTGATTTGGTGTTAGGAATTTGTGATAAGACTCTCTGGCTCTTTGGCGGTCGCGTTTCGAAGGCGGGAAAGTTTAAAGTTAAAAGTTAAAAGTCGAGTTTTAATGTCTGGAAATCTCCCATGATCCATGAAAGTCAGCAATACAATGATACGATTCCCCAACGTATATGTCCCGGTGCTTTTCCGTAGGTACTATGTGTAAATATGTTTAAATTAAATGTAAAAAATGTAAAGCCGAAAACCGTGTTGGAGTGTCTAGCAAGTCAGTAACCTGATTTCTAAAGTGAAAATCGATTAACTTTGAAGTTGTCCACCTATTTGTACAACAGAAAATCAGGTGGGCAAGTATTACATACATTAAACGGCTATAGCCTATAAGTGAAACTCGACTACCATCTACCTATATGAATGATGAACAACCCGACTTTGTCGTAGTTCTACAACTAACTGTGGTCGTAGTAGAATGTTAATGATGTAGTCGAGTATGTGATAACGACAAATGGCCTATCCATTCTTTAATATCTATGTTTATGTATGGCTGATAATGATTAGTGATAGCGCTTGGTGGTTTGGCGGGAATGTTTAAATTTTTGAACTTTCTGTGTCAGTGCTGTTTTCCGTTGCATGTCCGGTGCCTTTTTTGTTTGTGGAGCAAAATGTCAAGTTTAAAATCGTGTTGGAGTGTCTAGCAAGTGGATGCCTCATGTAATATTCGATGTACGTTCATCGAAGTCGCCCAGGTAGGTACTCCGAGGTCGTCGATCGCGTACAATTTTCAACGGTACCTATATCAGGTATGTATTGCAGATAGGTACTTTAGTTTAAATGTCACAGTAATAGTTTAAATGTTACAGCCATCGTCAAAAAATATAATATGGATCATACGCGGTTATACCTTCCGTATACGTTAAAAAATTAGTATGTCTATTCGTGTGTTCATAGGTATGATATTGTTAACATAATAATTTCTGAAGGGAAAAATTATGTCAGCGTAAAAACGTATAATTCGGTCGAACGGTGTGTAATGACCAATAATGATGATATCTAAGGCGCGTGTATCGTGACGGTCTCTGTTTGTCTACCTGTAGTCACTATCGATCTCTCTCACACGAAGCTTTCGCGTTATCGTGTAATTGTCGATACGACCGATGTCCCATCTAATTTAATGGAGTGATGGGAAATCCATTTTTTGCGGACAGGATGTATGATCGGTGACGAACGCCGGACATATTTCATTTGACATTTGGACGCCGTTCGAGTAAGTAAACGTATTTAATTCCTTATTGTAGGTACCTTCTTATACTGGCCTTGTGTCCCGGTGTTTTTTTTCATGTTAGTTTAACTTGGTAGAGTAAAATTATTTATGCTCAAACACTTTTTAATACTTATAGAATATATTTAATTGTATCTCGATCAATATTTAAACACCTCTTTATACAATACAATTTCGTTTAATTGTTTATGAGGTCTGAATGTATGACTATGGGCACGTGTGCATTTGAATGAATGTAAATCGTATTCCGTAGTAAATTTTAGTTGACCAGATTAAATAGTGCGCTGTTTGTAATTGGTTTTTATAATTTTTATAAATATTTTAGGAAATTATATCTGTACATTATTATTATTTTATATTTTGCATTACACATACACATAGTTCGTTTAAAAATTAAAATGTCGTAAAAAATCGATCGAGAGGACACAGATTATCTTCTTATATTAGTTTTCAATTTTCAATTAATAATACTAATAGTTGAGTTCACCGTAAAACTAATATATAGCACACTATTGAAACCGTCGAACGAAAATTAACTATATCGCACATGTGTAAGACGGAGACAACATAATATTCAGTGTTGGGGAAGTTACTTATTTTTGGTAATTAAATTACATTACTAATTACTTATCAAAATTGTAACTAAATTATTTTTAAGTTACTTTTTTTTCATTTTGTCAAGTTACATTACTTTTGAGTTTTAAAAGTAACTAAATTACAATAGAAGTTACTTTTTTTTTTTAATATCACTGGAGCTTAATAACTATTTTGTCTATATGACAATACACAAACTAAATAATGACAATCAATGAAATTATTAACAATTAATACTAATTTTGCTGCACATTAAATATTAATCTTTATTTTTCAAATTTATTTTAAATAATAATGCGTTTTCAAAATTATAGTCACTTATTTTTGATCGCTTTTTAGTGCATATATCTCCTGCTATGCTAAACAAGCGTTCAACAGAAGCACTTGAGGGTAAAGCAGTATTATACTTCAAAAAAATTAATCTCATTATTGGCATGTTTTTTAAAATAGTTAAATCACCATTAAAAGGAGTAAATAAAAACCGTTCAAGTTCAGCATTAGAATGCTCTATATCTATATCTACATCAAAAATAATAACTATCGTCCAATCTCCATCCAATCACATATCTCCAAAATTTTTGAATCACTAGTCATGCAATGTATTCAACCATCGATCAATAGAATACTTATGGAGGAACAGCATGGCTTTCGCCCTGGTCGTTCCACCATTACCTGTAATTTAGTCTTTAGTAATTATGTATACCGTTCGTTCGCCCAGAAATCACAGGTAGATGCTATTTACACTGATTTCAATAAGGCATTTGATTCAGTTAACCACAAAGCCCTAGTACAGGTCCTGAAAGCATCTGGAATTGGTGAACCTCTCTTGTCTTGGCTTTCGTCTTACCTTTCTTTCCGCTATCAATGGGTTAAACTGTATGGAGTGAGGTCTAACGCTTATCTAGCAACATCTGGTGTTCCACAAGGTGGACACCTTTCTCCGCTCCTTTTCTCTTTATTTATCAATAGTGTGTCAAGTGTTCTATCAAATAGTCGTATTTTGTGTTTTGCAGATGATATTAAACTCTTCTCCAGTGTATCTTCCTTAGATGACTGTATGTTGTTACAGATTGATTTTGATCGGTTCACTGAATGGTTCAATACTCTAGGCTTATCCCTTAATGTTTCTAAGTGTAAGACCATGACTTATACTAGAATTCGGTCCCTTGTCAAATATGCATATCATCTTGGGCCAACTGCTATCGCATGCTCTAATGGCAGTGTTACTGATCTTGGGTTTATTCTTACTAGTAATCTCGATCCGAGTCCCCACATTGAACATATCTGTTGCAAGGCTTTTAGAACCTTGGGATTTGTATTGAGACTATGTAGAGACTTTCGATTAGGCTTATCCTTTAAGGTTCTTTATTGTACTCTCGTACGCCCTATTTTAGAATATGGTGCCGTTATTTGGAATCCTCACGACAATAATGACTCTGTCAGGCTAGAAAGGGTTCAACGAAAATTCATGAAGTATGCTGGATTTCGTTTGAATATTCCATGTGAACCTCATAACTACGAACCAGTTGCTTCTCAGCTAGGACTGGTTTCCCTGGCTGAGCGTAGGCGGTTGGCGGACATCAAATTTTTAAAAAACTTATTAGATGGAATTATCGACTCTCCTGAATTGCTTTCCTTAATCTGTTTCCGTGTTCCTCAACTTGCTTCCCGATCTATCGCTCCTTTTTATGTCCCTTTTGCCTCCACAAACTATCTA